TATTAGTACATATTACAATAAACTCACATATTACCTAATTATATATATACTTTTTTTCTTGTGTATTTGTAAAGCTTATAACTTTTGTTTGTGGTGAATTAATACTCTGAAAAAACCTAACTAATACCTCTTAAAAAATTTCCATTGCTCCACACACATCAAAAATATAGATCGCCGTCGACATGAAGTGCTGATCAACCAATTTCTTTACAAAGAACTTAGCCTTTGATTTCTGTGTTGCGCTGTAGTCGCTTTCCAAGCTGATAGTGGTATAACTATGAATATGCGCTTTTAGACCATTCAGAAGATTCTCCAACGCATTTACCATATGCGTAACCCATCTGGTACCATTAACTCGTATGACACTGCATTTGGCTTAAAAATTAAAATACTAAATTAAATAAATATAAAATTGCCTAAATTAAATAATACATTTTGATTTTTTAAATAAATTAATACTTTTAAATTAATTAATACATTTTGATTTTTAATACTACCTAAAAATAATAAGTGAAATCACGTTGAGATATTATCAATATAACAAGACTTAATTCTTAAAATACCTTTTACACCATAAACATTGCATGAGTTACAATAAACCGCAGATATAACAATAGAATTTCGATGAAAAACGAAGAGTTGCCCACAAACTAGCTGCAGAATTTGGAGTTGCTTTGATATGCTAGCTGCATCTTTCAGTGTCAGCTGCAATCGGTGCGACAAACAATGTGAGTAAGTGAGAAAATTGTTGCACCTACTTTTTAGCTGTTGCTGAACACTATGTCTCCGTCCAGTTAAAACATTAGCGCCATCCGTAGTCAAGCCTACCATTAGAGGTGCTATATTTTCTGTATGTACTATTAGTTCATTATTGTAGTCGTCTAGCTCTTCTTTACTTAGGAAACTTTCAAAATTTCATTCATCATTATTGTTGTCACTATCGCTAAATAGTTGAGATATTTCATCTTCTATATGTACTAATTCATCGCAGTCAGATTCGTCTTCTAGATCTTTAACAGTGTTAGCTATTCCCAGAGGCTTCTCTAAAGGATCCTAACGCATTTCGGTTTTTAAAATTTTTAATATTAGGGCTGTCAGTTGCAATGCGTTAGGTCGAGTAACCTTGTCTATTGCCAGAAATCTAGTTTTGATATTTCCATTAATTGAATAGCGCAGGTAAATGTCCATTTGCTCCAATCTATAGGCGTCAGTAGACTCATCTACAATAATCCTAAAAAATTTAGCGCTGGAGAATTTCATTCTAAATTCATTTGAAAAAACCTCTGATATTGCCATTCCAAAATCTACACCACCTTGTCTATTGTGATATGTTTTACCAATAGTCACACCTTTGGTTTTATCCAATCTTACTATAAACTCGTAATCCGAAAATGGCTTACCCTCCTTTAATAAACCATACATGTTTTGAAACAAATGTTGGAAATGTATTTTTTGAGCTTCCGACAAAGTTGTTTTGGCTTGTTATGCTTCACTCAACTTATTATTTTTTTTTCTTTTTCAAGGATTTTTTGTCAATCCATCGCGACGACATTGTGTATTCGTGGGTTTGCAATGTTTAGCGACACTCTAGCTTCTGTACGATGTATCACCGAATATAAATGGAAGTTGTTAAATCTCGCTTTTTGATAGAGTGTAGTTTTCCTTTAATTGGTTGGAGTGATAATACTTCTCCCGGCAATTTAGGCAATTCATGACATCTTCGAAATCATCGTACGCCTGATCGTCTCTTTTTTTTTTTTGCGTTCCTTGTTTAATTCTGTTAGAAACCTTTTAATATTCTTTGTTCCTTCTTCTGTATACAACTCGGAAACTTTGTTGTGCCTAAACCAAGGATATTCTTTTAACCGTGACGGTTGTATTGCTCCAATTCTTTTCGTTTTTTCATATTTGCTTTAATTATCATCGCAGCTTGCGCTGGTCAGACTAACAGATTTGAGTTTTCTTTTACGTGCAGTGAAAAAGTCCGATGTCATAATACTAAATAAATGAAAACAATGTAAATGATAATATAGAAATTACTTTTATAATTATCGCGATAAATTACATTGAAAAATAAAAATAAACGTTGCAACTTAAAGATTTTGGAAGGGACTTAGAAGAGCATTAAGTCACATAGATAAGATTACTTTAATATATATTTCTTAAAGACACGTCTCGTTATTTACAATTAAAAACTTGGATTGCGCCAAGTGCTCAGTTCGTGGTAAAGAAGGACTACGCGTTCAGTTAAATATACAAAGTAAAGAAGCATACAGGCTGCTGTGTTAGCGAACTAACGCAACACTGCGGCCGGCACTAATAAAGTATTATTAAAATGTTTAATGTTTCTCTCGTTAATAAATGTCACTTGAATTAACTGTTCTGTAAATCAAGTCATACCTTTCTAGGAGGTAAAGTTTATTTACAGTTCTTCTAAGAATAACTGGTTTGTCGCCATAGATCACGCGTCCTTCAGCAGAACGTACTTGACTATCACTTGAATTAAGTATATTTTGGATAACGTCCATTTTCTAAACTGAACGTGGAACTTTTGGATCGTCGTTGGATTAATACAACATCTCGAACTTTCATATTAAACCCCCAACTTTTGTGTGTCACATCTGTGTGCATTTCTCGTAAGTTTATCAAGTATTCATTTTTCCATATGTGCCAATAATGATCCAAAATCGCTTTTTTTGTGCTAATACATCTGCTTATCATCGCTTTGATCAACAGTTAAAATGTTATTAAAATTCACAGATTCTAAAGGTAATTTTCGTTCAAACACTGAAGTCAAATTTAAAGGAGAATTCCTGACTTAAAAGTATTTAATTCAACAAAAGAAAATGCAGTTAATTTTAGAATGTTTTATTTAAATTGAACGCTTCTAACGTTAAAATTTTCACGGACTACTTTAATGCTTGTAATAATTTGTTTAAAAGAAACTTATCAGTCGACAGCGGAAAAAAATCAATAAAATAAAACTCAAATTAAAAGTCAATATTTTGAACGACTGTATTTAAACTTAAGAAGTTTCGCAAAAGGGTATCGCAATTCTTGTCTATTTTAACTTTAATACAATTTAATTTAATTTCCCTAAACATAAGATCTCTTAACTTAAATTTTTTAAACTTTAAACCACTTAACATAAACTATAATCACAAATAATAAAATAACAAATGACAAAATCACTTAGCTGGTATTAACTTGATCTTTAAAACGAGTGTTTTCTCCTATAAGAATGTTGACAAATTTCACCGAAATAATAAATATAATAACCTATAGTAATCTTACCATAAATCTCAAAAAATAATCAACTATCACATTAAGTTGAATAAAAATAAAAACGACTGAGCATGTTAAATCTTCTAATATCTCATAAACTGGGCTCCATAAAAAATTTGGAAGGGACTCTAGCATTAATTCACATAGATAAGATTACTTTAATATATATTTCTTGAAGATACGTCTCGTTATTTACAATTACAAACTTGGGTCGCGCCAAGTGCTCAGCTTGTGGTGAAGAAGGAAGCGTAAGAGAGCGAGACTTGCTACGCGTTCAGTTAAATATACAAATTAAAGAAGCATACTGGCTGCTGCGTTAGCGAACTAACGCAATACAACTTACCTGAATTTTTTTATCTTATTTATAAACTCAATAATCAACTTAATTGTAAACAAAATGATTGGAACTGAAATAAATATCTACTCTATTTAAACAGATTTTAGAGATGATTTAAAATAATATACGCTTGATGGTTAAATAAATTGTTTTTAAATAATTGGAGACTAGTATTTTCTAGTATTTTTTTGCACAAATTTACTTCTATTACTTATCTTTTAAATTACTACATTTTTCTAAGATTTAATCAAAACCTTTTTGCTTTTATTTTACTCGTACTTTGTTCTAATTAACAATAGAAAATGCGGTAAACAAACTTTAGCATTGTGACTTTTAAAATAGTGTTTCATTATTATTTTAGTTACTTATTGCATTAGTTACATTGCATATTTTAAATCTTTTAAATTAAGCACACAAAAAAATAGAACTGCCAATAAAAATCAATAGTCGCTCTTTCGGGGCAAAAAAAATATTTTGAGTCGCCCTTCACAATATTCGGTCGCCTGGTGCCATCGGACGACCACAAGTGTACATCCCTGTACAGGTATATTTTTTCAGACAAAAGTAAGATTACACGATTATAAATTAATTAACAGTATAACCAACAAATCAAAAAATTACCATTACATTAAGAAAAAAATAGAAATGAAAGAAAAATATCATAAACTACCAATTACACCGATTATAAAAAATACTTTTAATTCTCCCAATCAAGTTTTTAAACCTGCTATACTCAATTTAACTAATGTTACTCTGGATAAATCAACAACTGAGCAACTCAATTTAGGTCCAAATTTTGTACCACTGCCGAAAAAAACTCCTTATATGGATATTATAATTAATGTCAAAACTTGCGCTTTACAACTAGAAAAACTTAAAAAACCAACACAGGCAGAAACTCAACGTCAAAACTGTTCACAATTTTTAACAAATTCGCTAAAATTAAGATTAAAAAATAATTTAACTAAGCAACAACGTCTTTCCATAAACAAATTAAAAAAAAAATTCTAACATTAAGATATACCCTTTCTATAAAGGCACAGGTTTCGCATTATTAAACCAAAAAGATGCATCTCTCAAATTAGAAGAACAAATAAAAAATAGCAAAATTATTGATTATGATCCAACATCCACATTGACTACTAAATTTCAAAGACAGTTGTGCAAATTAAGAAAAGAAGATAAACTAGACACAAATACACAATTTAAAATGTATTCATCAGATTGTAACCCACCAAGGATTTACAGAATGATTAAAGCTCACAAACCAGAAAAAGAATACCCAATGCGCCCTGTTGTATCAATAATTAACACACCACCTTATGGAACATCTGATTATCTTGTTAAAATTATTCAACCGACTCTAAACAAAAATAAAAGTAGACTTATGAATTCTAATAGTTGTGTAAATGAAGCTAAGCAATGGATAGTAGATCCTAACGAAGTTCATGTTTCATTTGATATAGTCAATTTATATCCATCCATGCCCATTGACGAAGCAATTCCGGTTATTATTGATATATTGAACGTTGACATTGATGACTTAAAAACTTAAACTAAACTTATTCTTGCAGACATACATCAATTAATTGAACTTTCATTAAGTATATGCTATTTTTTATATGAAAACAATATCTGAATAATACCTAATTCAGGTCCTATAGGTTTATCTTTAATGGTTGTTATGGCAGAGGCGTTTTTACAAAATATAGAAAGAAAAGCCCTTAACATAGCAACTATTCATACATCCGAACCATAAAATTACAAGAGATATGTAGATGAGTGTCATGCTCGCTTTGCTACAATAAAATAACAACTAATATTCCTGAACATCCTTAATGAACAACATCCTGCCATAAAATACACAGTGGAACTTGAAAACGACTTCAAACAACTCAATTTCCTAGATATTAACATTACAAACACAGGCTCTGGAGCTTATGAATTTTAAATACATAGAAAAGAAGCTATTAAAAATGTTCAACTTTAACCTAACTTAAACATTAACCCTAACATTATTATTGGCGTTTTCAAAGAATTTATATGTCGTGCTAAAAGAATATGCTCTCAAAAACACCTTCAAAAAGAAATTGATTTTCTAATGGACATCTTTGTTGAAAATGGCCACGACAAGAACATTCTAAATAATATTACTATAGACTATTTAAAAAACGGTTCAAAAAACACCACATTTCAACCAATAGATACCCATACTCAACCCTTTATAAAACTACCTTGGATACCAATCGTTGGTCAAAAACTTCGTAAAGAATTTCGAAAGCAAAACATGAAGGTTTTTTTCAGATCAACTCTCAATTTAAAAAATATTTTCTGCAACAATAAAACTAAACTAACACTAAACACAGACCCTGGTGTATACCAGCTAAAATGTTCATGCGGTTCGATATACATTGGTGAAACTAAAAAGAAGGTGATATCAAGATGTATTGAACACCAAAAAAACAGCTCAAAAGGAAAATAGTCCAGTTCGGGTGCAACTGAGCATTCTAAAACATGCCATGGTAAGTTTGATTGGTTGCACCCTAAAACATTATCTGTAGCCCCAGAATATCGAACTCGGAAAATCAGAAAGTCACTTGAAATAAGCAAGGCTAAGGTGCAGCAGGAGTTGAGAAATGGTGACGTGGTTCTCAATTGGGATGACGGTGATAACGTAACAACCAAAACCTGGGACCCATTTTTAAATAAAATCTGCAGACATCAGTTATTTAAAAAGTTTTTTCTGTATTATATTTTTGCTTTTTAATATTATCTTTTTAACGATTTGTTCTTACTATAACGATTTTTCTAACTATTTTATTTATTATACCTGATGACCCTGATCACAATTGATCAGCAAATTATCGAAATAATTTTATATATTAAAGAAAATGTATATATATATTTAAAAAAAAGTTTATACGCAGCCGTATTTATTGAATTCTAACCATATTTTAATGTATAACAAGATAAATGACATTTAAAGATATATATATATATATATATATGTATATATATATATATATATATATATATATATATATATATATATATATATATATATATATATATATATATATATATATATATATATATATATATGTATATATATATATATATTGCATCACACAAACGAAGTTGCCAATAATTACTTTTAAACTATTTAGTAAAAATTAAACCACAAAGATTTCATTGTCTTTGAGTTAAAGTTGAAAAATAAACCTTTAAAAGTATATTTGTTTAGTAAACTAACTTACAAGCACAACTTGCATTGTCCTTTTCTAATTTCCATCCAGCATTACATAAACAGAAATAACTACCATTGGTATTATAACATTTTCCATTACTCCAATCACATGGAGACTTCAAGCTATTACATTCATTAATGTCTACAAAAACAAACTTAACAACATATGTATCTTATTTGTAAGTAACTCAGATAGAATATTTTCATCTATGAGCCATTATTTTATAATAATAATTCAAATTTCATCAATGAGCCATTATTAAATGATAATAATTCAAACCATTTCTATAATAATTAAAAAGCCATTCAGAAAACTAGACATTATTTAGGGGTGCCTCATGAAATCTTAAGCCATACATATTTAAGCATGTACAAGAACTTATATAAAACATTAATACTATCATCAAAGTTAAAATTCAGGGTAACCAAGGCAAAATATTAAATAATATACATAGAATTCATAATTGCATCTAATAAACATATATAATTAGGGTTAAATAATAACATAATTATTAAAGTTCATCCTCGAAACAAATTTTTAGTTAGTTTAATTTGACAAAAATATTTCAAACAATGACTAAACAAACCTTATAATAATTCAGAAATTAAAGCTCAAAAACTATTAATAAAAATCACAAAAATTAAAATCTTTTATTGTTAAAATTGACAGACTTTTTATAAACAATCTTTGAAACAATGTTTTTTTCCACAAATATTTCATGAAACTCTTGAACAAATGCAATACCTCATTCCTTTGTGCCCTTATATATTTTCAATATCTGAAATATTTTTCAAGCGTTAAAAAATCATTGCCTATATGCCAGATATCCAGATCTTTAAAAATCTACAAATGAGGCTATATATTAAAGAAATATGTGGAATTGATTACGTGTTAAAGATGTATTTGTACTAAGAAATGCCAATCATTCTTATTAACATCACCAACCTACCATGTTATTTGTTTAGAAGGACTTCTTACAACTTTATCTTTTTAATGCCTGTATTATGATTCTCTCTAAAAAAAAAAACAATGCAATAGCAAGATGTTTCATAAATTCTGTTGTTTGATCAGCAAATATTTGATTTGAGCATTTGAAGTTGTTGTACAAATTTTAGATCATTCTTTGGTGCACCAGTAAGTTATGCTTTATTTTTAGCAATATGCTCCAGTAATATGTTCAATACTTTGTTTCAGTAATGTGCTCCAGTTAGTTGTTCCATTATATTCTTCCAGTAAATTGTTCCATTATATTTTTCCAGTAATATATTGCAGTAATTTGTCCCAGTACTATGTTCCAGTAACTTCTTAGAGTTATATTTCAATAAGTATACTCATCTTAGTTATGATTATACTATAATCTTAAAAAACATTTATCCTAAAATTATCCATTTATCTTGTATCAGATTAACTCTATTTTAGTTTTTTTTTAAAGCTACCCTAATGATTAAGACTTTTTGTCTGATTTGTTTTTAGATCATTAAGGTTTTGCCGCTTCTCTGCTAAAAATCACTCTTCCTTCAATACCTTCTGGATTAAGCTTTTTTTCATCTCTGCAAGAACAACTTTCTAGAGAAAAAATGTCTTTCATTCATTTCAAGAAATCAATGCCAAAAAATTATTTATTCTCAGATTATTGAATCTCCAGAAAATATATTTTCTTTTTAGTTTCTCAGACTCGGAAAATCTTTAACAATGTCATTAATAACTCTTAACTTTCCACCTCTCTGCATGGGTCTCATCTTACTACTTCTCCCAAAAATGAGGCAGAATTATTTGTAAAGAAAGATTTTTCTAAGTTATCTCTTCGTTTCGAATGAAAGTACTAACATTTTTTCTCTTAGAAATTAAACACTAAATTAATTTTTACAAAGTTTGTCCTATAGTTGTTGGATAATAAGAATCAATGAAAAAAATAAAACTCTAAAGAAAAAATAAAAAACCCTGCAACTCACTTATAGCCACCAAAAAATTTAATAAAATAGTAGGTGTTTAAAAAGTGCTTTATTGAGCCCATAACATTATAGGGTGGACGTGGAATAATCCGGTCAACTTTAAATTAAGATTTCTCTAAAACCATAAATGCTTTTTATTACAAATTTATTATTATTAAATGTGTTAACATAAATTAGCATTTCAACTTTTAGCGTTTTAAGGGGCTTGATGGGTTGTTTGACAAAAAATCGAACTTTATAGCAGGTTGATGCTATCATTTCACAGATTTTTTCTTTTTTCACCATATTGGTGGCATTAGTCCACTTTTCTTGGAAGTCCTTTTTAATATTTGTTACTCTACCTGTCTTACGAAGAACTCCTTTAACAATTGCCCAAAAATCTTCAACTTTGCGCTCTTCAGGACGATTTGGAGGATTCGCATCTTTAGAAACAATTTTCAAATTAATATCTTTGCACCATTGTGGAACCTTTTTAGAATAGTGAAAGGCAGCAAGATCGGGCCAAAAGAGACATCGGTATTTGTGTTTTTTTATAAAAGGCAAAAGTCTTTTTTAGAGGCATTCTTTGATGTAGAGACTGGAAGTCAAGGTCTTTTTAGTGACAAAACAAGAGAACTTCATACCATAGCTACATATTGCTTGCAACACAAGGAACTAGGATGCAAATTTTTCTTGTCAAATATATTTAAATTGATCATCGACAGGTTTACCTTTGTTTTCATAGTAAAACTGTTGACCAGGAAGTAGTGAAAGTTCCACCTTGCAATACGTTTTGTCATCTTCAATTATGCACATATTTTTATCCACCATTATTTTAACCAACTTATTTGCGCATCGAATTCCTTTAATTTCACAATTTAAGCTTCTCTTAGGTGTACTTTATTATGAAATGCTTTTATTCCAGCATTTTTAAGTACTTTTTTGATATAAGAACAAGAAGTCTTGAATTTTTTTGCTAGATCTTGCTGTGACTGGTTTGGATTTCTTGCTATTAAACATAAAATTGACTTTACCCCTTTGGATTTATGAAAAAAAAATTTTTTTATATTTCCAAGTTTTCTTTTGAAGAATTGAGTAGTCTTGACCTTGTTTATAATATCAATGACTGTAGATTTTGGGACATTTGTGCGTTTAGCAATGAAGTGATAGGAAGTTGATGGATTTTTGCAAAAAAAAAT